ACAGTGTATTCATTAATTTTCATTTTCATGTAGTAAAGGCTCTATGCCTTCATAAAGGACGTACTTTTCCTTTGTTTAAGGGTATTTGGGCAGTTTATTCTCTGTTATATTCTCAAGTAAACAATACATACAAGTACAGTACAGTATTTTCTGAGGAAACACTCGTACTTATTTTTTTTAACCCCATTCCCGATAACCCGGCATTTTTACAAACTCGGCCACCCTTCGGTCCACATTAGGCCGAGTTTTCGAGGTTCTACTGTAGTAGAATATCAATTACATTAGCAAGTACTGTACATATTAGCAGAAATTTAATCATTGATCTGTGTAATTAAAATTGTAGAAACTTTTGACAATGAAATTGTAGTAGTTTCAAAATAATTTTTTTCTAGTCAGATGTCAAGATGAAAGAAAATGAAAACAAGGTAGGTATGTAGTGTTGTGAATATTGGTACAGCATTGGCTGACTTTAATTATTGTATTTATGTAGGCCTAGAACTAAATATTTTGTTAATTTCATAAATAATTTTTTTCCTTAATATTTATAAATTATTAATGATTTCAAAAACAAATACAAAATGACTGAAAAAGCAGTTTTTAAATTTAAAGTTTGAAACTTCTTTATAGTTAGCATAGCATCAATGCCTAAAATCGAATTACTGTATGTGGCTGAAAGTAAACTGCCTGTTTATTTATTATACCAGCTACCAAGAAAAGCAGTCGAATTATTAATTATTACTTAAGCTTGTTTTGGTTGTGGAGTATCACGTTGGACGGGGAAGCTTATTAAATGTCCCCACTTCGACGCCATTCGATGACGAGAATGCCGCGAAACGTCACTCACCTCAGCCAAATGACATCGCTGACGTGTTTCCTGTCAACTTACTCTTGTCACGAAATAATTCGTTCTTTTGCCTTGTATTTTTGAGGCATCACGTGATAGATAGTGACGTTATATTTCCTTTTTTTGACTGCTTAGAGTCAGCTGACCATAATTTGACAAATATTGCATTAGTTACGTTTCCGGTGACACCTTAACATTCTATAGTGCAGTTTTATCAAATAAATAAACAAATTTCTTAGAAATTCAGATTAAATGCTTACAATCCTAAATAAATAATTAAAATTTGTTATCTAATTTTTCAAATTGTGTAATTTTATATAACTAATGATTTTATTTCAAAATTTGAACTAAAGTTATATAACAACAAGCAATTATTTGTTGTGACGTGGTCACAATGCTGGAGTGCAATTTTTCGTCACAACGCTCTCAATTTTAGTACTGTCTTGCTCCCGTACATCATACTTTTCCTGTTAAACAATGGAGTCATGCCGGCCATCTATTTTATTCCATTCAGGAGAAAATTTCCTTTTTATAGTTATTTAATTTCACAAAAATACTGGTCCTCAAAAGATTGGAATGAAAAAAAAAACTGTCAGTGAAAACAAATGGTTTGAGAAGCGCTGTTGAAACACATGTTGGGTCTACGATTTTAAATAAAATATTTTATTTTTAAACAGAAAATTCTTTATATGGTATTGACCATATATCTAACATATAGATTATTGAACTGTAATTTTCAAAAACTGTAAATCTATAAATTTCCATCGGCGTTCGCTGTCTGTTCTTTCTTAATCTCGAGAACAAAGTTAGAAAAATGAAAGTCGAAACCAGATATGGAAAGAGTAGTGGCAGTAAGTCCAGATTAGCTATACACGAACGTCTGGTTTTGATCAGAAACCACGTCATTTAATTAAAAAAAATTCCTCCTGAACAGAGTTAAATAGATGACAAGCATAACTCCATTGTAAACAGGAAAAGTATGATGTACAAGAGCAAGACAGCACTAAAATATAAGCGTTGTGACGAAAAATTGCACTCCAGCATTGTGAGTTAGTGACAGACAATAAGACTCGTGGCATTAGAGAGTTCTAATTATGACGTATAAAAAGCTGAAAAAGAGTTAATACAATATATTTTTTATTTGCTGTCTATAATAGGTATGTGATGTGAAAATTTTTATCAATTTGAGTTGATCTGTAGAAATTTGCCTGTCTACATGCCAACTTGTTTGGTCAACATGGCTGAGCAAGTAGACTTTGCCTTTAGTTGCTTTAAAGGCTAACTTATACAAGTAATATTTTACACGTTAATGTTAATCTTTCAACGACAAATTTTAAAATTTTCTTCATATAATTCTTCATTATTTTATATAGAGGAGAAGGTGGTATTATGGAACCCAAATTACATTTTAGTGAATTGTAAACAAGGTATCATAACTACAACCACAGTTTTTGTGCGAAAAGTACCGGTAACTAGTAAACTAAACGTTCCTAATTGGATTTTTCGCTAGTGTAATTATAAGTATGGTTTTTGAAGGCTTTTGTACAAAAAGTCCGAAAGTAGGCTTAGAGAAAATCGGGTGGTAATATGGAACCTTACTGTATATTTTCAAAAAAATGCTTTAATGTAGCCAAAAACAAATAGGAAAGGACAAAAAA